TGCCATATGATGAATGATGACGAAGCATTTCTTGTCGATGCTTACAAATATTTATTAAAGAGGGATATCCACCTTGGATTTGATAAATACAGCTATTTTGGTCATGTAATGCTCTCAAATGATTTCGAGCTTTATCGATGGGCTCTTACTCATGGTCAGTGTCTACTGGAAATGCGATCACAAATATTGGGAACTACTGAACGAGGTAGCACAATTATTTCTTTGGGAACGAAAGTTGATGAGACTCGGCGCCTTGTTCTATTCGAAATGGATTTTACTAGCCAATCCTGTTTAACTGCATTCAACAAAGAGATACATCACCATATGGCATTGAATACAGACGTTAACATTTTGCCAGGTACCTTTTTTGAAGTGACTCAAATTCAGAAAAACAAGGATGGCCTGACAATCGTCTCACTCAAGAATGTATGTGCCAAAACAGACGTCTTGTCATCATCGAATTGATATATACCTGAATGACTATACCGATTTATGGGAACAATAAAAACTTGGCAAATACTTGCTGTTGGAGAATACTCTAACACAGAATTCATACCTTTCTTTTCCTTTCTTTTTTCTCTCCCGCCTCTCTCTTCCTTTCTAAAAATCTATTTCCTTTTCAGTGTATTGTACAAACTTTGGTTATTTTTTTTCTTTGGCTATGAAAATCATTTAACGTTTCATGCTTTACTTGTTTTACTATTCTTTAATAATTGCACATTTGGAAAAAAATATGCATGAAATTATCTTCTTTGTCTTATACTAACATAATTTTCAAGTAAGAGGATGCATTCAAGTTATCTTCCTTCTTCTATTTATGCTTGCTCTCTTCATTTCTCTTCCAATTGTACTTGCGCATGTTTAGGCACTATATGAAATGGCATTCTTTTCCTTAATAAACCACTTAGATTTATTCGGAATAGTTCATCATTGACCTAGCTATCTCACTCTCAATGAAAACCTCTGTAATACTTGTATTTAATACTGTTTTCTCATAAAATAGACTAACAAAGATCGTATTTGAATATCAAGATATCTCATTTTATGCCTTGTCGTTTTCAACTGAAGATTAAATAGCTATACCTAAATACAATACACATAATCTATTATATTATTCTCAGACCTTTCTCTTTTACTTATCTTACGCTATTGATGCTTCTGTTTCCACACATATACACCAGCGAACATACAAAAATCGTACCCTTCATACAGACTTTTTTGGCAAATGAGGAAAGAATATGAACGGATAATTTGTTATCGAGCAGCTGTATGAATGAGAGGGGATGAAAGTATCAAAGCCGCTCTCCTCACAAACTAGAAGAGATGACGACAAGACCCAAAGACAAACTTACATAACACTAAGCCAGCCAGAAGTCAGCTAAGAGTATTTGTTCTTTTCATAGAGTAATAATTTGTTACTTGCATCGTCTCTTGATGTTAAGTCGAAAAGAACTATTTCAAGAAGACTGCTAAAAAGTCGTTGATGTCAAGCATCACCAGATGTTGGTGTACGAAAGTGTGCAGTTATCGACTTTCTCCTCAATCAGGAACAAACTCACATATTCACATCAATATTCTCATTTATTGAAAAGGTTCTGAAAATAACTAAGTTAACATTTGTAATTAGCACTAGAAAACTCTTTATGTCTAGCCCATCAATGACTTGTCGTTACTATGAAGATTTATTTCAAAAATGTTTGCGTAGACACATAGCCTCACCAACCTTACTCCCTTAAGGTTTTGGTTTATTTGAAAATAATAAACTCATTAGATAGAAATAAAATACTGGTAAAACTGAGTTGAGACTGTAATTACTATGTTTCTTCACTATCATTATCAAAGAGTAAGATACAATAATATTATGAATGCTAATTAGAATGACATAAATAAATCATTTCTACATTCTCAATATCTTGTATTTCGATGTAAAGCTAGACATGTGATAAGAGTCAATGTAAAAAGTGTATACTTAATAATTACTTAATTTATTTAAGTCTTAAACTATTGTTTTTTTTTGTAATAAAAGACTATTATATTTCTTTGCCATCTATCAATGATTAGCATCAATTGACGATAATAAAGTCAACTGAATTCAATACCGACGATGATATCGAAGTAAATACTTGAGAATTGAAAAAAATGGAGTATGCTTTTATTTTTGAACAAAAATGGTGATATCGAAAAATTAAAATATTCCATCGACCACTGTTGATGTAGCAATGCACATGACAACAAAATAATTCATTTAAATTAAAAAAACAATTGGAAATTATTTTTAAATCTTAAGCTCACACATAATTTCAATAGTTTATCTCTTCAACTAATTTATTTCGATTAGATTCACGCTAATCAGGCTCATTGAAAAAATGATAAATCTAACAGGTATTCATTTTACACATTCTGTGCAATATGTATTCTGTATTTTAATGTGAAAAGTCTTGTGTAGTATTGAAAATTTTATCTCGAATATAAATCATTTTTATTGCATGAAAAGGTTTAATATAAATTATTTATTGATAATAAATGATGTCAAGTCATTTTATTATTACGGAATTTAATGGTGATTCATCTAACAATTTGTTTTTATTTTTATAAATCTTATACTTTATGTACCTTATTCAAAATATTTAATCAAATTCTTTACACTGAAATATCAGCTAGTGTGTTGATCATTGTTTTTGTCAGATGCTGCTCTTTACTCCAAACTAGTCGAGTAAAGAAATCTTAAGTCAAAATTTAAGATGGACTAAGAGTATTTATCTCAGCTTTTCTGTTCATTACAGACTCTTTATATGGAATCAAATTTCTTCTTTCTTTGATCGCTATGGTTTAAAAGGTTGTCATAAAATCTTTAAACAAATGTTTATATAGAAAACCGATTGAAATTTGAAAAGAAGCAGAATTTACTCGCATTAATTACAGCAGGTGCATTTTTAGGCACGTTAGTAGTTTCAATCTGTACTCGATGTTTGAACTTCGCAAAGTTCAGGGCCTGATCTATTATGACAGATTTATGGTGATGATGTTAGTCGTCCTTGAGAAAATGATCGTTCTTATTCGCATTCCGTTGGCCGCACAGTTGGTCGCATGAAAAAACCAACACTTAGCTTTCATTGTCGATTTTTAAGCCGACAGGCATATTCAAAATAAAGAACAAAAAATTTGCCTCGATTCCAAGAGAGTAATAGAAATTCATATGAAATCGACCACATTTGATGAGTTCAACGAAGAAAATGTATAGTGTATGTGTCATTGAGAAAGTATCGTATGTAGCAAAATAGTTTTGTAGGTCAAAAAGAAGAGAGCAGCAAGGACTGCTTTTTGTATACACATTTATCAGCATAAGTCGCTGTTATCAATAAAAAAACAACAATCTTTGTGGAAAGAAAAATTTCGCGGAAAAAATCTTTCACTAATATGTTTAGAGCGTTATTTATGACGACTTTTACGAGGAATCAACTCGATATGAACAAATTCAATCAAAATTTAAAGATTTTTTCTATAAAAAGATAATATGAAAATTGAAAATAAGATATTTATTTATAAAAGTCTGAATATTAATTGAATTCAAACAAAAGATCATTCAGAGTATAGAATTACATTACACACGCGTTAAACCAGTATAAAATTTAACAATTACAGCTCCAATATTCCTGGCCTATCCGAGAAAAGACATTATTTTCGATCATAAAATAGTAGAAATTTGGAAGTAGGAATCAGATGATTAGAGTCAGCTAGTGGATTCCGGCTTTCAAATTTCTACCATTTTCTTGACGTACTTCATTTATCTTGGAATACGAAATAAACGACACCGTCGAAATACTTATTCGTATAAAGAAAAGAAAAAGCCTCTTAAAAATTATACAACAACAAGCGAAGCGATCAAACTCAAAGTTACTCCAACGCACATAATAATATTGTCATTAAGAAAAATAAGATTTTTTTTTTTTTTCTTTAATAAAAATGAGTCACAATGAAGAATGAAACATAACTAAAAACAATTTTTACATATATGTATATATATCAAAAGTAAATCTGAAACAAGTTACTTGATCTGACTGACAAAGGTCTACTACGTACGGCTGTTTTGTAATTAAAACTTGTTCGAAATTCATCTAAATCAAACCCTTATCACATTCCTTTAAAGTAACGGTTAGTATTTGATTGATTTTTTTTCTTAAATTGAAAATCGATTCAATTTTTTATTTTGTCAAAAAAAAAAACTTTCAAAATGATTTCTACGTTTTTTAAAACAACTCTAGAAAATTTTATCGAGAGTTTATATAGTATAGTACATCTGTTGAACGAAGTACAATTGGCTTCTGTTTTTTTTCCTTTCTTTCTCTTCTATTTAGTCAACTAATAATCCAATGTACAATACGGGATGTGTATACCCTGTCTTTTTTTTCTTTCCTTCGATTCTTTGTTCTTCATCCTTTTTTTTTCTTTATTTCTTTTGCTTGCTTTCAGTTCGGTTCGTTTCGCCGTCGAACTATAGTATTAAACAACATCGCGCAAAGTGAACGACGCCGCGGAGAAAAAAAGTCGTGACTCACCTTTCTCTATTCATTGAATTGAGAAGAAAAAAAAAAGACGCGGAAAAAAACGGTCCTTTATTTTCTTTTGCTTTCTCTTTGCCAACTTTGCCGAGTCGATGACGAGCGAACATACACACAGTCAATACTGATGAGGCATCAACCTTGTCATTCACAGTTGAGCGCCTAGACGACGACAAAAAAACATTACTTTGTTTTTTTTTCTGTCTGACTCACTACTACTGATATCAAATCTTTCAAACAATCTTCAATATCATGTGTTTTAGTCATTGAATACTTTTTTTTCTCTCTTGAGTTTGTTATCATGCCACGCAGCAGTTTTTCTATTTATTTGTTGACAGAAAGAATGACTCATATGGAGAAAAGAGATTGACACACACATATATATATTCAGTCATTCAGCAACATAATTTATTTTAGAATAAAGAAACATAAAGAGGAAATATGGCAGAATCATCGACAGCTGATTATATATTTAAAATAGTTTTAACTGGTGATTCCGGTGTTGGAAAATCAAATTTATTATCACGTTTTACTCGTAATGAATTTTCACTTGAAAGTCGTTCAACAATCGGTGTAGAATTTTCTACGAAAGAAGTACAAGTTGATGGAAAAACAATTAAAGTACAAATATGGGATACTGGTAAAATTATTAAATGAAATCTTTTTATTTTCTATTCAAAAATAAATTTCTTTCTTTCTTTCTTTTTTTGATATCTTTAGCTGGTCAAGAACGATTTATGGCAATAACAAAAGCATATTATCGAAATGCATTAGGTGCTCTTGTTGTTTTTGATATTCTTAAAGCATCAACATTCCAAAATCTTGATCAATGGTAAAAAAAAAAATATTTTATTTGAAAATTTTTAAATATAATTTTTTTATTCGAATAGGTACAATGAAGTACGAGCTAATGCTGGTATTGATTGTTGTATTATCTTAGTAGGAAATAAATCAGATCAACGACATATACGTGCTGTTCTTTATGATGATGCTAAAAGTTATGCAGATGCAAGAAATATTCAGTAAGAAACATTGTTTTTTTTTTGTTTTGCTAATAGAAATAATTTAATAAATATTTGCAAATTATTTTAAAGATATATTGAAACATCAGCATTAGATGCAACAAATGTTGAACAAGCATTTCGAACACTTATTGCTGATATATATCGTCATTGGGCAGCTCGAATGGATTCAATGAAAGAAGACACAAAAATAAATCAACAAGGTACTTCTCAAATAATTCAACCAGGATATCGGACAACTCAACCTCCACAAAATACGAATTCATGTTGTGGAAGTTATTGATAAGAAAAAATAAAATTTTCTTTTCAATGTATAGTGTGCGTGTGTGTGTATTGTTTTCTTTTTTTTTCTTTCCATTGATGAACAAAGGAAAGAATCTCTTATAAATACGCGCGTAATAAATGACTTGTGAAAGTGAACATTCATTTGTATGTTTATCTAGTAAAAGAGATTATCATTGGTTTTGGATACTATTACCCATTAGTCTTCTTATTGTTTGTCTTATTTATATATTATCTCGTCCAAATCATACAAGATTATCATCACGTACTTATCAACTAATTACTCCAACAAAAAATGTCATTAGTTTACACCCACAAAAAGATCAACAAAAGTATACATTTAATCAACATGCTAAATATTCAATACCTACACAATCATCACAATATTTATTTGAACAATGTAAAGAAAGAACAAAAGAAACGAATAATAGTTTATTACATGCAGACAATACAACATATAAGACGAGTGCGTTTTTATGATTTAATGGTTTATTAAGTGATAACATGAGAAATTTTATTGAAATGTATGATCACGTATCGAATATATAATTTTATTGACAAAGTCAATAATTAGATAAAAGAATGATTGTAGTTTTGTAAAGAATCTGAAGAAATTAAACAGTTCGTTTATGACAAGGCGAAAAGAGTTTCATATTGAAATTTTTGAAGTCTTGAAGTTCATTTTTTTCCTATCGAATTCTTAGAAAATTTTTTCTGTTTAGATCTAACTATTAAATGAATATTTAAGTTATACTCTTAGGTATAAGCCATTCATAGTTCTGTCTGTAATATAATAATAAGTAACATGAGAAGGTTTAAGACTTATTTAAATAAATAAGTTCATGCAATGTATTCTATTGTCTTTCATATTTATTATTAAAAAATTAATGTATGAAAACAATGAAAGGTTTTTCATACTAATATTTCGTGATTATCAGTTTTACTTCAAACAAATCATAAAGATTTTATCTCTTATACAGAGTTAAAATCTAAATACTCCATTGTCGTAAAAAAAAGCACCTTGAAACTGCAAAGACATAATGGTGAAATTCATTTAAAACTTGAGGATCTCGAGAATGATAGTTTCGTTTTTGTTGAAAGTTTCAGAACTTTTTTTATGACAATATGCTCTCTATCTATGAATAATATTTCAGGATAAAATTCTGCACTTTAATATTTTCAGAAATGTTTTGTTCTTATCAAATGTTTACAGTCATAATCACACGTTGAACGAATTTCAGTAATTGGCGATGTTTATTCGTTAGTGTTAGTAGAAGATAGATTTGCAAATATACTTGATCGATAAATCATCAAAAATATTGCCGCAGTGCATTAAACATCTTAACTAATCAATAAAAATATTTTCTTTTTTCTAACTATACAGCTAATGAAATAAATGATAATGTGAATGTATCAAACATCCAAGTCTCATCAAAGTTATTGAATAATACATCAATAAATAATTCGAATGATGCTTCATCTGACTTAAATCCATATGAATGGAATGAATTACGTACACCTGTATTAGCAAATTATCCTGATATTATTGATGTTATTGAAGCACGTCGAATCAATAATGAATTAAATCCTCGAATAAAAAATCATCCATTATTACCAAATGATATTCTTACATTAATTAATAAAGGTTTTGGTGAATCTGATCCATATCCGATTAATATAAATCTTGGTCGAATATGGTTTTTTCTTGAATATAATCCATATTTAAGGCAATTATATTTAACAATAATCAAAGCTCGTAATCTTCGTTCAATCAAAGGTTATCAACCAACAACATTTGTTCGAGCAGAAATTTTGCCGACATTGAATGTAAATTTTTCTACAGATATTATTAAAGAAAATTCTAATCCTGATTATATGACTGAAACAATATTTAATATAAATCTTTCAGAATTTGCACATAATGTATTGAAATTAACAGTACATGAAATTGATAAAGATGTTTTTCACATACCTATTGGTACTATTTATTATCCACTGGATCATTTACTTATTGCACAACGTGCTAAAGGACATGCTGTATGGAGAAATTTGTTACCTGGTATGTAATTATGGAGAGAATCTATACGAGGCAACTTTTACAGGTATAAAATCATTTTTCGACTGAGACAACGTTCATTTAATCAGTAACAAAAAAGTCTAGAATGGTTTGTTTTTCCGAGCCTTCGTTCTCGAGATCGATTTCAATAAAAATCGTATCCAGGTTACGTGAAAAATTGACTTTCAAGTTTTAGCTGAACATCGCTTCTATTGAAAAACGATTTCATGCCTGAAGAGGCTCCCTCTGTATAGATCTAAAAACCGATCAAACATACTATTGTTTTAGACTATGGAGACCCATCAGCTATTGGTCTTATTCAAATTCGAGCTACTGTTTTCTATGATATTAATGATGAATGTCTAAATATTTATGTTCATTCATTACGTGCAACAGGTATTGTTAAACAAGTTTATCATGTTTATGTTCATGCATCTGTTGCTATACATGATTTTCCTGTTATACCTGAAGAGCATATAGAATCATCTCAAATTATTAAAAATCCATTTACTCATGGTAAATGTGGTCCGATTGTTTCATTAGAGCAATATAATGATACTATATATGATCAATTATTTCGATTTAATATTTATAAACATGAATTTAATGATATGACTGTTGTGTTGGATGTATATCGTCGTTCATTAGGTGATGAATTTTTTGATGATATTCTTCTTGGTCGTACTATACTTGTTTCGCCAGATATGTTAGAAAAAAATTTAAATAATGAAACATTACCACCACCAGTCATTGAAGAACAAGTAAAAACGATACCAAAGAACGAAGAAATTCAGCAGGAAAATAAAGAAAAAAGACATTCTACAAAACGTAAAAAGAGAAAAAGAAAATAATTTCAGAATAAATGGTTGTATTATGAAGAAGAATCCTATTCGATCGATGTGTTATCATTACTGAATATATGTAAAGTGGTGGAGAAAAGTTTAACCAACAACATATTTCTTGACTTTTCTATAAGACTAAGCAATTAGATCAAATACAGACAGTGATTTTAATAGTTAATGGCGTCTTCTATCCAATGCATTTTATAACAAGATTTCTAAAAACTTCGAACACAATAGTTTTCAGATCATAGAAGACTATTTTTTAACAATTCCACTATAAAGAGCACAAAATGCGAGATCATCAAATTTTCTACGATCTCTCCTTAAACGCTTAAAAGTACCACAAAAACCGTAAAAAAATGAAATGTATCAAATAATCGACTAAAAAAAATATCGTTTTTCAGTATTTGTGATGCTTTTAAGCAAAGTTTGTAGGAAAATGCTACGATTCTTCTTTTCGTTCTTTTTCTAACATGGGATTGTTAAACAATAGTTTTTTGGAGACCTAAAAACTACCATGTTTGGTTTTTTAAAAGCCTTGCCGTCATACTTCATCAATGAAATCTTGCTAAAAAAATCAAAAATATATTCTGGCTAAATAAGAAGTTAACTCTTTCGAAGTTTTTTGCTTTTATAAATAAACACAACAAAGTTCAAATAATTTTAGTCAAATGAACATTAAACTATTCAAAACATATTTTATAAAAACTTGTAATACAAACAAAAGTATTTATTCTATGATCCATATAATTCGACGTACAGTGTTTATTCAAATAAAATCAATAAAAATAGAAATTCGTTTTAATTCAATCGGCATTCACTTTGAAATAAGAATGATTCCATTGCTTTAGTTTTTATTTATGTGATGACACAAAACAAGATTTTCTGTTTTATCGATCCTCTACCTCGAGTTATTTCTCTAAAAATTTCTCAATAATGTAAAGTCTTATTTGATCTAATATGGAGACCAAAATGATGGTGTTTGTCTGAGGATCAGACACATCCTACTAGATTTTCTGGCTCTTGTAACACATACTATTTATGGCATACCAAAAGTAATACAGAAATAAGTTATTCTAGATTTATACTTCATTGAATATTCATATTATAAGATGAAATTTGATCATCGTAAATCGAATATAATTCATCATTAATTAATTGATTATATTTGAATGTTAAATGAAGAGCATATCTTAATGTAGAAACAAAAGCTTTCTTCATTCATCTAAAAATAAGGCTACGTAGTTTTCATTGAAATTTTTCAAATGATAATATCACTTAACTAATATTACTATAATCGAAACATATGTAGGGCACTCGTAATATTATATAAACATATGAATGGAATTTTCTCTTAAACTTTCTATACTTTGACATATCTTAAGTAAGTATCTGTGCTTTTAGAATTAAGTATTCATTCTCTCGAAATTTCCAGTTACCCCTCCAAAAAAAAAGAAAAGTAGCAATTTATCATGCATGACATTTGTGACTTTGAAATGGTCTTGATGTTCTTCTAATGGTAAAAATGCATGCATGATATTTTTCTTCCATATTGTATATAAAAGTCATATGTTTACGGATGATTGATTCTTATAACAACTATAAATAGAAACTACATGCTATATCCATTCGTAATTTTTATATTCAGTTAAAATAAATAAACAATGGCAACAAATAGGCCAACTGGTATGGGTTATCAAACAAGTCTTCATTTCTATCGAGTCGCCAATGAAATTATAAGTTATGTAAATTCGATACATGAATATGAAGCCTTAAGTTCAGCAGATGATCGATGGTATGATTCTTATGGTACAATGAAAACTGGTGCTGAAAGACGTCGCACCCATGTTACTCATGCACGACCACCTACATTCCGTTCAACACATATGTCTAGAACTTCATCATCAAGCACTCGACGAAGTGTTTCACGTGGCTCTCGATAATATATATATATTTTTTTTTTTGTCATTTATTGTCATTATCAATCTAACGAAATAAAAATTACCTATCCATGCATATAGAAAGAGAAAAAACAAATATTTTTTTTTGTACACCGCCGTTGCTTGTTACAAAACATATAGTAGAACTAGATTTGATTCATTTTTTGTTTATTACAAACGTTATCAAATAGTTGGATAGATGCCCAATAATCGAGGCTTACAACGTCGCAGAAAACCTCTTCCTGGAGCTCGTCCATTCGAAGAAATTGTGGTTCAAAGCTCTGTTAACAATAATACTCATTCAATGTATGTAAATGCGAATCCTGCTTATAATTCTCAAGTATCTTTACCACATGGACATCGATTCAATGACCCACCTAGAATGCCTCCTCCAGCTAAGCAACTGAAGTCATCCTCACATCATCATCATAAAAAGACCTATGGAGTAATTTAATTTTGCCCTTTTTTTTTATTAATACACGAGTGAAATTAGTGTTTGAATTGTAACCATAACTGTTTCATATTGATGTACGAATAAAAAATGACTCGAATTGGCTTGACAAAAAAAACAAATGTTTTATAATAAATCTAAAAGGTAAAAGGGCATATATTTTATTTTTGTTATGTGTACTGTATCACGTGGTAACATAAACAATGATGAATCATACAATTCTAAAATGAGACGAAAAGGTACTTGTGTAGAATAAATGTGCTAGACGATGATAATGATGTGATCATATTGAGGTCTTTATAATTTCATATAATTAGTTAATGAAATCAATTTTTCTTTAATAGAAAAAAAATTAATTATCATTTCGACATTGATTAAATAAGACAAACTAATCTTCAAATTAGACAACAATTGATTTGTATTATTGAGGAAATATGTATATAGTGTACTACAAAAGCTGTTTTTTGTTCAGACCTCATCAAAGTTCTATATGATATTATGTAAATAGAATACTGATTTAACGCATACAAAAGATCATATCATTTTAGTACAGATATGGTGGGATTGACAAATTTTAGATGTAATAATTTGCAATAAGTTTTATAAATCTCAACTAAGGAAACTCATGTGATCCGTTCAACATATGAATTAATAGAAGAATCTCTGAGCATAACTCCGCTAGCAATTATTTCAATAATTCTTATATGTGTAAAGTTCTAGTAAGTTTTATTACTTGATAAATGCACTATTAATTGATTGATAACTGAAGATAGTTTCATGTCTCATCATTTACTGAATTGATTTGAATGAATTGATTTCAATCTTTTATTCGATATTATCACTAGTGATTGATCATAGTTATATTAAACAAAAGGTCAGATATATGAATTTATATCATTGGGATCTTGTAGACAGAAATTAGTCTATCAATAACTGTCTAACATCAGTTTTCACAGTGTATCAGAAAAGACATTAAAGAACGATATTTGATGCCTCAAATTTCGCTATCACAGACATTCTAGGCTTGCAAGAAATTTGTCGCCACTAATCATCTAGAGGTATATATTGATCGAGTATATTCGCAGATCTAAACTCATGTGACTTCTTTCTATTATTGGAACTATCAAGAATATTGAAGCTACAGAACTTTCAAGGAATCAAAAATCTTAATAGTATACATTCAACAATCTCTTTTAAATTCAACTTTGACTTTGGTGAATTTTAGATATATAAGTAGATTATAGCAAAAACGTCATAATAGTTTCATGATATATTTTTATTTCTTAATTCGTCTTAAGACCTTGAAAAAATTTAAAATGATTGTAATTTTCCTTATCTGCGTCGTAGCTGTTTGCTCTTACATTACTTTCAATATCATCATCAGTGCTGATATCATCGAAAATGATGTCATTATCACGGTTCACAAAAAGTAAGAGAACAATATCCTTGTGAGTCCATTTCGTATGTGACCTATAATTGTGGTCTACTATTTTCTTTCTATTGTTTATTTCTAGAATCTATTTTTCGTCCATCTTATATTCATTCTCATGCATTATATTGAGTACAATAATTCAGTTTTTTGTAATTTAAAATAAATCATAAACGACGACGACGTGTTTATACTCTATTTGTATATTTAAAAAAAATCATTATGCGCAATCAAATTCTTTTGGTGTTTAGTTTTTTTTTGTCAAGAAATTCATTTGATAGGAGTGTTACACTGCATCAGCATGAAATCACATAAATTGTTAAAAAATTGATAACTTCTAAATTTAATGTCTAGATATGATGAAACTTTCTATAGGAGCTAGTCTTACCTTAATATTCATGTGTACAGAGTTTCAGATTGAAATTCGAAAATAACGTTCTACTAAAAACAATTTTCATTGATACAGGTAGGATCTAATGAAAATGCACTATTTTGATCATTGCTTAATAAGAATATCTATTCTAATCTGATATTCTTCTACTCATGAAAGTAAGATGAAAGAAAATAGAACTTATGATTTATACAAGTCATTAACTTTGAATATTAACGGATGCAATATTGAAATGAAACAAAATTTTATACACTCTTCGGATCTCTTCGTATAAATATTCTATATTAAATTTCAATCGACTCGGAACATAACAAAACTAATAATATACCAACGTACAGCAAGTTTGAGACAAAAAGCTTTGTTCATATACAATTTCAGCACTAAAAATGCTCTGTAAGTCTGCAATATATATCATCATTAATTAAGTAACAATATCATATGAAAAAAGCTCAATGAATGCTATATATCCTATTTTTAAGAGAATAAAAAAAAAATTTTCGTTTCTGCATTTATGTATGCATTCTACACTAAACATACAACTGGGATTAGTTCATGATGAATTATTATCTATTTTCCATAACAAAGTTCAACGTCTAAAAATATACTTATTATATAGTCAAAATAATTTTATGGAGATCGAAGATCAACCAGGACTTCATTGGTCGGTCTATAATCAAGGCAACAAAGAAAATTATGAAAATAATTCGGAATCGTGCTTAGATACTAATCGAAGAAACTTCTTTCACTATGGCTCAATGTCGCTATTTTACTTCGAAAACTCTGTTCTATACAAATTTAAATCCTTTATAACAGTTTCTAACCCTGAAAAGTTCCATTTGTTCCGTCCTGTGACATATTCAGGATCGGAACATTTTGAAAATAAAACGGGATTCAGGAATCGAAAATAGCTTCTCGAAACTATTTATCAACAAAATTCGAATAAGAATATCAGAATCAAGTAGATACGTCTTAAATTTTATCATCATAATTCCAAACCATATGTCTATAAACATGTGTCAAACTATTTCAAATCGAAAGGTATAAACATAATTCGATAAGAATCAAATTTTCTGGATCTGCTACCATGTAATTTCAAGTTATTCGATTTGATCAAACTGAATATGGTCGATGGAGTCCGTGACAGAGGTACTGATAAAAGAAAAACTTTCAATATATATGACTTGAACGAATGTAACAACATTTAATAGAATAAAATCTTAGATAACTTATTTCTGTATTGTTTCTTTTTCTATAAATCTCATTATTTTTTTTTTATGCATTGCCTGGAGTAGTCTCTCTCTGATCGTCGGAAACTGTATTTTAAACAACTTGAAATAGCGTACTACTCCATCAGTTTTCACCGTAATCTATCAGCTCGTATTTTTACTATCACATAGTCATCAGTTCTTCTAGTATTTTCTGTATTTTATATAGTTTACAATGCCATTTTCTTGAGTCCAAGTAAGTATATATAAAATTGTCATAAATTTTCAAAGATACTCAATTACAAGAAAATGATAATTATGAAATTTAACAGTTATACTATATATATCTACTCAAATGCATCATCGATCATTTAAACTATTAGATAAAATACTAAAATATGAACTTTATATATGAAATATTTCAATAAAGTTCTATCTAATTCTAACACCTCTCTATGACCATATTGAATTGATGAGGCATAGTAATATGTCGAAGAGTTTAACAACATTCACCCATCATCAACTATATTTTGTTCTCTTTAAAAAATAAAATGACACCGAATGTTGTATCAAAAGATATAAGAGTTTGACTGTAATGTTTGGCACCAACTGTGTGTACTCATGTTATTCTTCTTCATCTTCTCTTTACTATGTTCATTCTTCCATAGTCGATTGCACATCATTCATTCTTTCCTTTTTTCTTTCTTTTTCTTTTTCTTACTGATTCATTCATTGCATCTAATTGTCGATGCATTCACATGTCTGTTAGAACGATTTGTATGTATGGTGATTGTCGTTGCCGTCACCATACCTTATCATTCGATTGCTTGATTGAGTGATTCAAGATGGAATCAAAAAAGAAAAAAAAAAGGGAGAGAGAACGTACAAGTTAATTTTTTTACTCGACATACCCATATATATATGAGAGATCAGCTGTCGACCATTCCCGAGACAGATCGAATCTCACTCTCTCTTCTTCTTCTTCTTTAAAAAACGATCTCTCTTATTCTTTTTGTGCCCATTATACAAAGTGAATATTTGATGTGAACGTGTGTCGAGTATAAGTCTTACCAACATAAATCTACAATGCATAAGCACATTCATCACTAATCGATCGGACGAGAAATGACAGAAGCAAAAATATATATATATATATAAGAAAGAATAGTTATTTTATTCAAGTAAGTAAATGATAATATAAAAAGTAACACTACGCAAATATTCATTCGTTCATTAGACACCCGTTTAGCAACGGACTTTTGTTGTATAAATGAATTCAGAAGCTCGTCACTAACGGGTCTCACATGAATGATTAACATCTTATTGCGATTCATGTATATATATATCTATATATTTAACTTTTCAATAATCTTTTTTTTCTGAAGCTTTCAAGAAAAAAAAGGAAAGAATAACTACAATGATAATTTGAACATAATTACAGAATATTTGTGAAACAAAATTTGTTATTTACTAAATATGATTGATAATAAAACGACAATCTGTGATTTGTAATCATTATTATAAGAA